TGTGTGTGTGTGTGTGAGTGTGTGTGTGTGTGTTTGTGCTTAATGGACAAGGATTGTTAGAAATCTCAGACAGTACAGTAATTTCTGGCAAAAGATGAGTGTAACTTGAGTGAAAAAAAAAGATTTATAGATTTAGCGGATTCCACAAGCAGGCAGACGCCAAAACTCAAACTGTTCATTCCAGACTGTAAAGTGCCTGCGGTTCAATGTGAAACATTCAATCACACAAACTCAGTCTTAAATGTACATCAGACTGTAATGAGACAGATTTTATGAATGAGATGAACTCTGAGTCTCATTAACATGCTCCTGTCTCTCTCACCTTCTTCTTCTTGGTGGGCTGGTCCATCTTGGCCTGCAGAAAGTCGATGAGTTTGGTCTGCTGTGAGATGGTTCCCTCCATTTTTACTTTCTCGTGCGAGTAGACGGCCTGAGAAGAGACCAGGAGGAAGAACATGAAGACACGGATGAGTTTAAGTCGCAATGTGGACATTGACACTAATAACCCTAAATTAAACTCAAATTCAGAACTCTACAGAAGACAACGGTGTCATTATTCAGCTCAAGTCAGTTCTCATCCAATACTGTTGTTTGTGAGTTTGGGGGCGGGGCTATCTGTTTGATGACCAATGACAGACAGGATTGTGTTCAGAAAACCTGTTTGGAAATCATCATTATTATTTATCCTCTTGTTAAAGTTAAACACTAACATTATTTCATAATTTGAGCCGCATTAATTTAGGATACTGACACACATTGTGACATTTGACTAGTCAGAACTAGGGCTGTCAAATAAAAATTCGAATTTCGAAGATCTGTCGGATTTAAAATAAAAATCCACATTCGAATGCAAAAACGTCGCTCATTCAAAATATTGCAGAAAAAGGGAACATCACTGCGGAGAAGATGTTGTTTACGGCAAAATTGAAAAAGTCGTTCACACAGAACGCATATTTATTGCATTTTCTAAAGGGACATCTAACACTGCTACACTCGAGTCTCGCACAAGAGCCGCATGTTTGGAAAGCCATGTAAAATTAATGTAAGTTCAACTTTTAAAAAATAAGACTTTATGGCGTTTTTTCCCCCCATCTGTTTAGTACTATGTGATTGGCTTTCGTCCCTTTGTATTGAACTATGCATACATGATGCTGTTTTATTTATAATTGTTTAAGCAACTTAATTAATTATATTAACATTATGCAGTATTTCACTGATAGTCATGTTATTTTATTGCTATAATAAACGTGCATTAGCAATATTTTGCTCGATGCGTCCTCTTGTGGCCTCAGGAGAAAAGCCAAAAGCTTTTTTTCCCCTTAACTGAAATGATGCCTTTTAAATTCAAATATAATTCGAATATAGATAAATATTAAGTGCAAAATTCGAATTCAGTTTTTCAGCCATTTTTTTGACAGCCCTAGTCACTACTATTTATTGTGACGTGTATGGTATCTTGAGGCGGTTGGCGAGTGTGTGTGTGTGTGTGAGAGAGAGTGTGTGTGTGTGTGTGTGTGTGTGTGTGTGTGAGAGAGCTGACACACAAACACACACACTCATCCATCAGTCCAGAAAAACACCTGCTAGTAACATGAGACTCCTGTGACCACTTCAGATGGGTATTTCAAGGGGAAGATGTCTGATTTCATGACTACATCCATTATTAACTATATATCATAGTATCGTTAGCAAAGGAAACTTCTGATCTCTGCACAGACGTGACGTTCGGAGCAGAACGCTCATCGTTATTTTAGTGGAGAAGCTGTTGTAAATGTTGAGATCAGAGATACTGAAGGTCTTCTGCAATGTCTTTGTTTATGTTAATGTTTATATGTTTGTTTTCTCTCCAACTGTTTCAACCGCGCAAATTTATCAACATGTATTTTACAGTAATTCTGGTCTACTGACGTATAAACCCTTGTTTTTGCAGTGATTGTGATGAGCAGATGGTCTTTCATTGTGTTCTGGGACACATCCATGTTTACAGTGCAAATCTAAAATGTCTTCACAGATGTTAATAGCACGAGTAAACTGGGACTAGGGCTGCATGATAAATCAAAATGAAAATCGCAATCACGATTAGGCAGAAGCTATGTTTGTTATGCGCATCTTTCAGTGAAGCACGGTTCTGTGATCAGCAGTAAATCTCCATCCAAAGTGCCAAAATAAATTAATAAATATTATGTATGCATGTATGTATGTGTACACACACACACACACACACACACACACATATATACTTACATAAATATTATTTTATTATTTTTATAATTATTTATTATTTTATTTTGAATATATTCTTATTATAATATGAAATAATATATTACAATTTATTATTTATATATTTATTTATTTTTACAAATGTTTATGCTTTTAA